ATTTATCTTTTTAACAAACCGATTTAAAGAAAATAATCTTTTTAGAAAAATCTTTTCCTAAAATCTATCTTTTCTTATTTTCCATATTATTTTATTTACCAAGCAAACTTATCACGCTTCTAATAAATTTCGTGCACTAACCTACTTAACATATTAACAATAATTTATAAGATAAAAACCTTAACTAAATACTATTGCTGCGCCGCGCTTTTGATCAGGTAGGTTACTTGAGCTCCAAGTGTATTAAGTTCCACCAAAGAACTTAAACTTGCTTGTCTTCAAGTTCCTGTTAGGGAACTTAGTTCTTGTTAGAGAACTCTTCCTCTGATTTGTTTAACTTCTTCAATAAAGATCTCTTCATGTCTTCTTAGTTTCAGATACTTTTTCAATCACCAAGATCAAACTTCACCTAAACTAATCACACACTAGAGAACCTTTATTTGTTGAGTTTGCTTTAGATCAAGTTCCTCATCATCAAAACCATTATGCTTGAACACTACAATTTATACAAGTACAACTTGTATAGAAAGTAGGGTTTTCTTAAAGATAAATGTTAACTTACCTTATCTCAAAACACGGTTTAAGTAAATCAAATTAGAGAAAATCTTTCTAGAAAATAAGATAAAGAAAGATATACTTCCTCCGTTACGTATTATCTGCAACAAAATGAGTTGCACATTTCCCAAGAAGAAAAATTTAAGGAGATTAATTAAGGAAAGATCAAATAATTAAAGTCATAAAAGAACACCAACACCAGACTAGCAACCATCAAAAACCACCCAGACCCACAACCACCCAAAACCACCAAGACCCACAACCACCCAAAACCGACCAGACCCACAACCACCCACAGACCCGAAATCACCCAAACCTGCAACCGCCCAGACCCATAACCATCCAAAACCAACCAGACCTATAACCACCCAGAACCGACCAGCACAACCACCAAACCCGTAACCTCGCCCCTCCCCTCTCCCTCCCAGTCAATCACCTACCACCCACCATCTCCCCAATCACCAAAACCCACAACCACCCACTCACCTTCCCCTCTGCTCAAAGTTGACAACCACCCACCGCCCTCCCCTCTCCTCGAAATCACCACCAACCACCCTAAAATATGAATAAAAAAGGTTAATTTGGAAAGTATTACCTCCTTATCGCTAATTTGGGGTTTATTTGGTCAAATTTAACCATGAAAACTCTTGATCTAGAGTTTTCATGGTTATATTTTACCATAAAACCTCAACTTTAAGCTTTAATGGAAGAGGAAGTGGCGGCGACGACTTTAATGGAGGAAGTGGCGGTGACCCAATCTTATGGTGGCGGTGGTGTGGTGGTTGTGAAAGAAGAGAGAGAAGATTGGTGGTGAGGGTGGCTTGAAAGGGAGGAGAGAGAAAATAGGGTGGTGGTGGAGTGGTGGTTGTTAGAGAAAAGAGAGTAGAGGTGAGGGTGGCTTGAGAGAGAAAATATAGTGGTATGGTTGTGAGGGAGGAGAGAGATTGAGTGTTAGTGTTATTATTGAGGGTTAATTAATTTAGGTTAATAAGTTAATAACATGTAGTTAATGTGTTAATTGGATTGAAGTAAGGGTTTTTTAAATTTTTTTTTGCACATAACTTGTAACATCCTAAAATGGAAAATGTTGCACATAATGCGTAACGAAGGAAATAATTAAAAAGAACAATATCTTTTTAATAAATTGATTTTAAGAAATCAATTTTATAAAATCTTTTTCTAAAATCTATCTTTTCATCTTTTCCAATTTTAGTTTATTTGCCAAATAACTTGTCACGCTTCTAATGGATTTCTTGCATACTATACTTAACTTATTTAACAACATATCTAAAAGATAAAATCTTAACTAAATAGGTTGCTGCACCGCTCTTTGCATAGACAGATTACTTGGGCTTCACACAGGCTAAGTTCTTTTAAGAACTTAATGTCTTCAATCGCAGGCCAAGCTGACAACTCAACTTGCTATCTTTAAGTTCCTGTTAGGGAACGTTCCTGTTAGGGAACTTAGTTCTTGTTAGAGAACTCTTCTTCTTCTTTTTTTAACTTTTCTTTTAAAGGCTTCTTCATGTCTTCATAGCTCAACTTACTCTTCCATCACCAAGATCTATTTCACCTGTACTAATCAAACACTTACAAACCTTTATTAATTGATTTGCTTTAGTTTAAATCCATCATCATCAAAACCTCTAAGGTTCAACAATTTCCCCCTTTTTGATGATGATAAACTTAAGCAAACTCTTTTGAAAAGTTAAATAAAAAGAAGGGGCGTATTTTTTGTATTTTAGTTTATTGACATAAAATAAGCACACAACTAAAAATAAAACTAAGAATAAGAAAGTAAACAGAGCACTAATTAAGAAAGTAAACAGAACACAAATATAGAACATAAAACTAAAACTAAGCTACTGACATCTTTTCAGAGAAAAAATTCTGATACTTTCTCAACTGGAACCCAGAACAACTTCAACCTCCAAGTTTGCTTCTTTTTTCCCCCTTTTGGCATCATAAAAAGTCTTTATTTTTCAAGTTATTAAGCATCTATCCACAGCCCCACAAGCAATTCATCGAGTGTGGAAAACTGAAGGCAACGCTGCTAACTTCCCTTAAGTAAGTTCCACTTGCTTGCATAAGGTTTCATAACATACAAATGCACACATATATAGGTAAAGTTCCAAATATTTAAAAACCAAAAGAGTAATATACTGATAGTTAAAAGTTAAAAAACATAGAAAACTTAAACTGAAAATGTTCATGACTGCAAAGTGAAAAAGGGATAGGCTAATAAAAAGGGCTGGTAAAATATGGTTGCTGAATCAACTCTTTAGGAACTCCATAATCTATTTGCTATATTCTCTCTGTTGAGCAACAATAGTGTCCAGTCTTTCCTCAAGAATCTTGATCTTCTGATGAAACTCCAGCTTCTGGTCCTTCAGAAGTTTGTCTTGCCTCTACATAGACTTCTCTAACTTTTGAATCTTCCCAGCAGATTCCTTTAACTCCTTTTTAGCCAACACCAACCTCATAGTGAGCTTTGTAACTTGCCCATCAAGTTCCCTTTCATCAGAATCCAACACAAGTGGTTTCTCCATGCTGGTTTGAGGAATAGAGCTTGTTGATAGCCACCTACTCTTTCTCACAGGCTGCTCAGCCTCTTCCTTTTTTTTTTCTTTTTCCTGTTCCTTTTTCTTTCTTTTCCTCTCCCTTCTCCAATATTCGAATCTTCCCATTCACTACCTCCAAACTAAGTCCCTGCAGAGTTTCTTCATTTATCACATTATCTAGTTTCTCATCTAAACCTCCATAATTTCCTTTTAGAACCACTCTAAGGCTCTCAAAAAATGTAGACAGGATAGCTCCATACCCTACCTTTGTTTTTCTTGGAACACAGTGCGCCAACTGCTGATACATGAGTGAAGGAAAATTGATCTTCATCTTTCTAGACATATAGAAAATCACAGCCATGTCCATCAGACATGCTTCACCTTTCTTTGATGTTCGAGGCAGAATTGTTTTCTTAACTAAATTGAACAACAACTTGTTCAATGGGCTTAAATCATTGTGGCTCATTATGTTCTTCCCCCTTTTTCCTCCTAGAGCTTCAACAATGTCACCACTCAAATAATTTCCAACTTTCACACTAGCCTTCCCTTTAATGTAGGTCTCATACCCTCCAATCGGAGTTTTCAGAATTCTACCTAGGGTTTCAACATTTAACTCAATTTTTACCCCATCAATTTCACTAGAAATAACTCCTAATTTTGCTTCAAAATTCTGACAAAACTCAGTCATGGCAATTGGGTACATGTAATTATCAGAGGCTTTAGATTACAAATATTCCCATCCTTGGAACTTAATTAAATCAAGAAACTCCAGGAACCTAGCTTTTCAACACCAAATCAAATCAATGCGATGACCAACAACATATCTTTCTGCTTGTGATTCAAGCTCTGCTTGATCAGCAATTTCTTCATCTTCCTCCTTCTCAAAATTCTCTCTCTCAGATTCCTCCATTTTCTCAGCAAAATCATCAACCTCCCTGATGTGTTCTTCAACCGTCTTTCTCTTTTCTTTCATCCCTTTCCTCTCTTTCAATTTTTGAAGAATTGATTCAGAGGTTATGTCCTCTGTTTCAGTAGACTTAGGGTTTTGTGGGGTAGAGGATGAAGTGGGTTCGACTTGAGGTTCTTTGTAAGAAACGATTGGAAGAAAGGACACTTCATCCTGTTCCGAGTTCTGGGTGTTTTGAGAGCTTTTGGAAGAGCTAATTGAAGTGATGATAACCATGGTGATTTCTTGAAGGTGTAAGAAGGTTGTAGAAAATTTTCACGGTGGGTAAGTTGATTTGACAGTGATGATGTAAGGTCGGTGAAGATTCCTTTTATAATAAATGAAACGGTGTGAAGAAATTAAAGAGTTTTTCACTATTCAGTCATTAATTGAACAAGTTCAATTAATTTTCTAAATTCAATTAAGCAGGATATATTTTTGCCAAATTCTTTTAGTTTCCAAATTCATTTGATTTAAATTTTTTTTAAAAAACACGTATTTGGAACACGCTTTCTATACGTATACAATGTACATTATTAATTACTTACAAATTTAAGTGTTTAGTGAACTTACCTTTAGTGATTAACAACGGTGACACTTCAGGTATGTTTAGCACACCAAAATTGCGCCAAATGCTATTTTTGCTTTATTTACATTATTTTTGACTTTGCGATATCTTGGAACTTCAAAAGAAATCAAGTCAACTTGATCATTCCAAGTTCCAATCTCAATTTTTCAAATCTTTCTCTGTTCAAGGGCTTGGTCAGAATATCTGCAATTTGATTTTCAGTATGACAAAATTCCTACTTAATATTCCCTTGCTCCACATTATCTTTTAGAAAATGATACCTAATGTGGATGTGTTTTACTTTTGAGTGTTGAACTGGATCCTTAGAAATACATATAGCACTAGTATTATCACAGTTTATAGGGATACATTAAAAAATAATACCAAAATCTCTAACCTGTTGTTTTATCCAAAGAACTTGTGAACAACATGCAGCTGCTGCCACATACTCAGCTTCAACTGTAGATAATGCAACTGTTTTTTGCTTCTTGGAACTCCAAGAAACTAAACAGGAACCTAAAAACTGTGCCATACCTGAAGTGCTTTTTCTATTAACCAAATCACCTTCATAGTCAGCATCAGTAAAGCCATTTAAATCAAAAGAATCACATCTAGGATAGAAGAGACTCAAATCATCAGTTCCTTTCAAATATCTAAGGATTCTCTTAACTGCGCCATTTAAATAAAAAGAATCACTTCTAGGATAAAAGAGACTCAAATCATCAGTTCCTTTCAAATATCTAAGGATTCTCTTTACTACTTTCAAGTGGGACTCCTTTGGGTTTGCTTGAGATCTGGCACATAAGCCTACACTAAATGATATGTCAAGTTTACTTACTGTTAAGTGAAGTAGTGAGCCTATCATACCTCGATACATAGTTTAATCTATGCAAGTTCCAGTTGGATCTTCATCTAATCTGGTTCCAATACCCATAAGATTCTTATTGGTTTCAACATTGTCCATCTTGTACTTCTTAATCAGTTCCTTGATATACTTTTGTTGATGAATCATGATTCCTTCTTCGGTTTGCTTGATTTGCAAACCAAGGAAGAAGTTTAACTCTCCCATCATACCCATTTCAAATTCTCCACTCATTAGGTTAGCAAAATACTTGCACAGAGATTCATTAGTTGCACCAAATAAAATATCATCAACATAAATTTGCACAACTAATATGTCAGTTCCATTTGATTTTAAAAACAAAGTATTTTACAACATTTAAAATCATTTTTCAATAGGAACTTTGACATTCTTTCATACCATGCTCTAGGAGCTTGCTTCAACCCATAAAGAGCCTTGTCAAGCTTATAGACATGGTTTGGGAACTCTGGATTCTCAAATTTTAGGAGGTTGTTCCTCATAGACATCTTCATCAAGAAATACATTTAGGAATGCACATTTAACGTCCATATGGTACATCCTAAATCCAATATAAGCAGCAAAAGAAATAAGTAATCGTATAGCTTCTAACCTGGCTACAGGAGCAAAAGTTTCTTCATAGTCGATTCCTTCTTGTTGATTGAAACCTTGTACAACAGGTCTAGCCTTGTTCCTGACAATAATACCATGCTCATCTATCTTTCTCCTAAACACCCATTTTAATCCAATTGTCTTCTTCTGTTTGGGTTTAGGTTCCAAATGCCAAACTTTATTTCTTTCAAACTCATTAAGTTCAGCTTGCATAGCATTAATCCAATCAGCGTCAGTCAAAGCTTCAACATAGTTCTTTGGTTCCATTGAAGAAAGGAATGCATAGAATGCACAAAAGTTCTTAAGCTGAGATCTGGTCTGAGTTCCTTTTGTGATATCGCTCATAATTGCATCCACTGGATGTGACTTCTGATGTTTCCAAGGTTTTGGTGTAAAGTCTTTGATTGGATACAATCTTTCTTCATAGTTGATGACTGGTTCAACAGTAGGAACTTCAACTTGATTCTCAGTTTGAACTTCTTCAGGAATGTCCACATTAGCTTCGTTCTGTTCTGGAACTTGAGGAGTTCATGTTGCATCCTCCAATGAAGGTGCTTCATTTTCTTCAGGATTTGCTTCATTTTCCACCTGCTGCTTCTGCAATGATGTTGATTCATCATCTGGATCCTGCTTGCGTACCAGTCCAATTTCAAAACCATCATCACAATCTTGTACATCAATCAACTGTTCAGTTTCATCAAATATAATATGTATAGATTCCTCAACACACATTGTTCTCTTATTATAAACTCTATAGGCTTTCCTATTTGAGGCATATCCTAAGAAAAACTACCTCATCACTTTTTTCATCAAAATTTCCCAAGCTCCTTTTACCATTATTATGAACAAAACATTTACATCTAAAAGATCTGAAATAAGAAATGTTAGGCTTTCTCCCTTTGATGAGTTCATAAGGAGTTTTGTTGGTGATGGCATACTCTGTTTAGAATTAGCATGTTGTGTTCACTTCTTCTGCCTAGAAGTTCCTAGGCAGTCCACTTGAGATCAACATAGTTCTAGCCATGTCTTCAAGGCTTCTGTTCTTACGTTCCACCACTCCATTATGTTGTGGAGTTCTTGGGGCAGAGAAGTTGTGATCCATACCATGCTCAGTGCAAAATTTATCGAATAATGAGTTTTCAAATTCTGTTCCATGATCTGATCTAAGATGTATTAATGGGTTACCTATTCTTCTATTTTCTTTCTTTATAAAAGCTACAAATTCATAAAACGATTCATCTTTCCTAACAAGAAAGAAAACCCAAGTATACCTTCAGAAATCATCAACAATAACCATTACATATCTCTTACCACTTATGCTTTGGATTCTCATAGGACCACAGAGATCCATATGAATAAGTTCTAAAGGCCTTTTGGTACTTACCACCTTTTTGGATTTAAAAGGAACTCGAGTATGGTTTCCTTTAACACAAGCATCACACACTTTGTCATATAGGAAATACAAGGAAGTCCTTCCACTAATTCCTTAGATTTAAGTTTATCAAGTAAAGAAAAGCCTACATGACCAAATCTATTGTGCCATAATAAAGGATCATCCTCAACAGCACTGAGACATGTTAGATCACTATTAGGAACCTCGTTGAGATCCACAACATATGTGTTCCCCTTTTGAGTTCCTTGTAAGATTATGTTTCCAATGTCATTGTGTATGATTCGGCACTTATTAGAAGTAAAGCTAACAGAGCTACCTTTGTCACAAAATTGTGAAATACTTAAGAAATTGTGTTTAAGACCCTCGACTAAAAATACATTATCAATAGCATGGGAACTTAACCTTCCTACTTTTCCAATAGCAATGATATCTCCTGTCATATTATCACCAAAGGTCACAGTCCCACCATAATAGGCATCCAGTGAGAGAAATCTAGATTTATCTCCAGTCATGTGCTTAGAACAACCACTGTCGAGGTACCAAGTGTTGACCCCCCTCACTGGAACCTGCATGAGAAATCAAAGGTTAGTGTCAGGAACCCAGGTTTCCTTGGGTTCCTGTGTAACAGGAGTAGGTTTATTTTTCTTGATCCAAATCTGCTCTACATGTTTTTCATTTTTCTGTGTACTCTTCTCTTTCTTAGGACACTTAACTTGCTTGCGTCCTTTATTACCACAGAAATAAAAAACAATACTACTAGGCAGATCCACATACTTATTTTCCTTTTGGAACTTCTTTTTAAAACCTAGACCCTCTGTTCTCTTGGTTTGAGCCTTAGTGATCTAGTCTGGAACTCTGTACTCTATGGGTTGTTTACCTTTCCTAGCTCTCTCAAGTTCCCCCTCAAGTCGTGCCTTATCCGTTTTTAGATCTTGCAAATCAGATTTTAATTTTTCAAAACTCGGATATTGAGCAAGTGGAGGAACTTCAGAGTTAAGGGCATCAATACAAAGTTTCAATAAAGAAAGTTCCACATTCAAAAGTATGTTATCATGTTTCAGTCTTTCAATAGTCTATTTTAAAATTTTATTATCATCAAACAGACTAAAGAACCTATATTGAATGTAAAACTTCATGTTATCAACCCACCCAGTGTTCTCTTTGTAAGTTATTAAAACCTCGTCACTTTGATGTTTGGCTCTATGTACTTCCTTTAAGTCTTCTTGAATATCCAACACAACATGTATTAAGTTTTCTTTAGAGAAATGTCTTAAATCTTTTTGAGAAAACCATACCTCAGATTCAAGTGCCTTCAATTTTGCATCTTCATCAGTTTTGGCCATTAAACATTGGTGGGCAGTTTCTTCTGATGGTTGGTCCTCTTCCTCTTCTGAAAATCTGTATCTCCCTAGGTAGCTAGCATCGCCTTTTTCTCATTATTCTTCATGAAATATGGCTTATAGATCTTGACTCCTTGGATTGCTCTTTTCCTGTAGTCTTTCCTTTGTCACCTTCCTTGAGTGGACATTCCTTAATGAAGTTATCTTTAGACCCACACTTGAAATAGGCAGTGTCTCTGGAACTTGTACTGTTCTTGTTCCTATCAAATTTCATGTTGTTCATCATCTTTTTAAATCTTCTCACTAACATTGCCATCTCCTCCTCATCAACTTCTAAATCATCCGAATCTTGAGCCTTCAAAGCAAGACTCTTGTTCTTGGAACTTTTAGTATTGGAACTCAGGTGAAGTTCATGAGTCATCAATGATCCTGCTAATTGTTCAATGTTGAACTTGGTAAAGTCCTTAGCTTCCTGCATGGCAATCACCTTGGATCTCCAACGTTCATCTTGTGGTAGGCTCCTCAAGATCTTTCTTGCCTGTTCATCAATAGGAATGTGTCAGCCAAGGGAGTTCAGTTCATTAATAATATCATTAAACCTAGTCAAAATTTCCTCTATGGTTCCTTAGATTGCATTTCAAACCTTTCATATCTAGACACAAGTAGATCAATTTTAGAACGTTTTACCTCATTTGTACCTTCATGAGTTATCTCTAGTAGATCCCAAATCTGTTTAGCAGACTTGCATCCCATGATACGATTATGTTCATGAGGTCTAAGTCCACAGTGCAAATACTTTATGGCAAAAGCATTCAACTCAAGTTTATGATAATCTTCTTTTTCATAGTCAGAAATAAGTTTAGGAACTACCTCGTTTTTCTCATTGGTTGCAGTTATTTCAAAGTCACCAGATTCAATTACACGCCAAACCTGGTAATTTTCAGCCTTGATGAAGATCTCCATCCTGTTCTTCCAGCAGGTGTAGAACTTACCATTGAACATAGGTGAACGTTGGGTAAAATAACCTTCTTCAAGTTTCTCCTTGTAATTCATCTCTCCGGGAACTTACTAAGGAAAATTATCTGCTTACACGTGAGAACCTTTCTCTGATACCAATTATTAGTTGAGATGAATACTACAAGAGGGGGTGAATTGTATGTGAGTTCCTAGTGACTACTTTTGCGGAATATAAAACAATGCATATATGAACTTGCCGAGACACACAGATTTTACGAGAAAACCTTCCACGGCCCAACTGGAAGTAAAACCTCGACCCTATCTAATGGATTTCAAACACCAAACCACTTCACTATAATAGGGAAAACACCAAGTTACAACCTATTATAAACATACCTTTACTCACAAGTTCCACACCTAGATTCTCTCGTACTCCCAAAGTACAAATACTCATAGCTTCACACTAGAAGCTTTCACAACTGTATGCAATATTAAAAACACACAAACACCCAAATAACCTAACCAATACAAATTATAAGACACCTAGTATATGTTTGTCAAGCTATGCATAAAACCTGAAACTAATATGACAAGAGTAGAAGCTTGGCAAACTTCCACAATTTAAGCTCAATGATTTCTCCACGCATAAACTTACAAAAACCTAATGAAATCAGATGTCTACTATTTATACAAGTAAAACTTGTATAAAAATTAGGGTTTTCTAAAAGATAAATGTTAACTTACCTTATCTCTAAACACGATTTAAGTAAATCAAATTAGAGAAAATCTTTCTCGGAAAATAAGATAAAGAAAGATATATTAAAAAAGAAAGATATAATTAATCCGATTTTAAGAAATTAATTTTATAAAAATCTTTTTCTAAAATCTATCTTTTTATCGTTTCCAATTTTAGTTTA